GTGACCTCTGAAGATCACGTTCCATTGTTAACAAATGGCCCTTACTTTACACCTGTCCCCTCTCCCTAGAAATTATGTTGTGTATTATTTGCATTTATTTATGCGTCCGTGTTTTCCTTGATATAGAACACAAGCCTCAGCAGGGCACAGCCTATTCTATTATGTCATGCAATCAATCAATTTATATTGAGCCTACTATGTGTCAGGACCAGTGCTAGCCTCTAAGAATGCAAGTGCAAAGGAGGAGACAATCTCTACCCTCCAGAAGCTTACATTCTAATGGGGGAAACAGCAGCAACCTATTAAGATATATACAATACATATGTATACACACACACACACACACACACACACAGCATAAGCACAAAGATCAATACATATGCACACATGTATGTATCCAGATGTAGACAAAGCAGTAAATACTAAACAGTTTGGGGGAGAGGGCTCATGCAGTTGGGGGGATCAGAGAAGGCCTGGCAAATGGAAAGTGCCGGTTAACAGCAAATCAAAGGGCCTTCTTTAGAGCTGCAGAAAATCATCTCAGATGCTGGATCTGGCCATCCCCTCTGTGGGTAAAGGGCTGCTGCTGGAAACATAAATTTAAAGTTAGAAATGTTTCAGTCACATGCACAGTCAGAATTTGAGTTCCTTTAACCCAACAAGGCCCAGAAAAGGGAGGTGATTTGCCTGAGGTTAAATGCCAAGGTGATGGCAGAGCTCAGGACTTGAACCCAGGTCTCAGACCAGGGCTCTTTATACCCCATCAGCTCCCTCCCTCTTTGAGATGGGACTTGCTTTAGAGATTCTTTCTTTCTTTCTTTCTTTCTTTCTTTCTTTCTTTCTTTCTTTCTTTCTTTCTTTCTTTCTTTCTTTCTTTCTTTCTTTCTTTCTTTCTTTCTTTCTTTCTTGGTGAGGCAATTGAGGTTAAGTGACTTGCCTAGGGTCACACAGCTAGCATGTATCAAGTGTCTGAGGCAGGATTTGAACTCAGGTCCTCCTGACTCCAGGGCCTGTGTGCTATCCACTGCTGCCCCATGCTTTAGGGTAGTTTTTTTTTTTTTAAGTTTTACTGATTTAGTAAGTTTATATATTTTATTTTTATATTATTTCCAGATCTCTGTCTCTCATTCTCTGTGTCCCTTTCTGTCTCTTCTTCCCTTCTTTTCTCTACCTCTTTCCCCCTCTCTCCACTCTCCTCCAACCCTCCCATCTCTCTTTTCTTCTCTTCCTCTGTCTTTTTTTCTCATCTTTCTCTCTTCTTCTCTTCCCTCCCCCCCTTATCTTTTCCCTCTCTCAATCTCTTCCTCCATCTCTCTGTCTCTGTTTCTTTATCTTGGCTCTGTACCTCTGTCTGTCTCTCATCATCTCTGTCTGTCTGTCTGTCTGTCTGTCTCTCTCTCTCTCTCTCACACACACACACACACACACACACACACACACACACACACACACACCCCTATCAGCAACAAAGAAATTAAAACCCCATTAAGCAACCTGGTGGAGTGGAAAGCACACCAACTCGGGAGTCAAAGGATTTGGGTTTGAATCCTCATTCTGTCACTAACCATGTATAACCCTTATTCTCTCTGGCCCTTGTTATTTTTCTCATCTGTAAAGTGACAGAATTGGACTAGGTCACCTCTGAAGCTCTAAATCCAGGCTCCTATGAAAACCACCCATGACTATGTATGCAACATCTCCCACCCACAGTCTCCCACCTCTCTGAGGAGAGGAAGGGAGTACGTTTCATTATATGTTGTTCCCCTCAGCCATAGATTGGAGACAATCACATGCAACCCCAGTTTAAACAGCCCCTCTTGAAAAGACTTTGGATATATGTTTATCATTTTTTAAAGAGGGAGCATAAAATTCTAGAGGGCTAACAGTTAATTTTCATTCTGGAACATGAAGAGAAATTCTTTTCTGAGGAGTTTGAAGAATCGACTGTCTTGGGAAAAGAGTCTATGAGAGACTATGAGAGTTAAATGTTATCTTTGATAGAGAGTCATTTATGCAGGGCTTCTGACAATTTTTGCATCATGGACCCCTCTGGCAGTCTAGAAAAGCCTGCAGACACCTTCTCCAACTGATGTTTTTAAATGCACAAAATAAAATATTTAGAATTGCAAAGGAAAATAATTATGAAATATAGTTATCAAAATTGTTTTTTTTTTAAGTTCATGGACCCCAGGTAAAGGACCCATTCCTGGTCTAGAGACAGTTTGAAAGTTCTAAATTTAGCTATTATTCTTTGGAGAAGACATCCTACAAAGATATCCTGAAGAGACACTAAGTGCCATCTTAAGATAACTATAATGAGGGGCTAGAACGGAGGTCATTGGCTGGACATGGCTCTGGTTGTGGCCTTTCTCGTATTTATTTGTGCCTTTGTATTATTTCTGTTCATTAAGTATATAGCCAGTACACTGATGTTTATCTAAGCCTATGAGACTGGCATTTCAGGTTGAGAGAGGAGAGAAAGCTTAAGAGATTCTTCCAGTTTTTATAAACCACAGTGGGGGCTCAGAGCAAATTGGTCAATTAAGGAGAAAAGAGTTTGCATTTTTAGTAATTTATGAAGAAACACATGCTCTGATATCCTTTGAACCTGGTGTGAAAGTATGAATTAAGTCAAGTCGTCATAGGAGGGGGTTAGGAGTACCTAAGAGGTACATCTCACCCTTGAACAGGGATGGCAAAAGCCCTGATACATACGGGATCTTGTCTCTGGTACATGTGGACTTTGCAAAGTCTACGGCAAGCCTGATCCGAGGGCTCATCACTTGAGAATTTACAAAGCACTTTTTTCTTCATTCTCTTATTTGGTCCTCAGCTGTCTCTGGGCTTCCCTGGCTTCCTTGTTCACTCAATCCACCTTGCCTTTCCTGATCCTGCTTAATTTTAGCGCCTTCCCTCTGCTGTTTTTCTCCAATCTAACCTGTCTCTAGTTTGCTCATACATGGTAATTTCAATGTTGTCTCTCCCATTAGACTGGGTTTCTTTTTGCTTTTCTTCGCATCCCCAGCTCCTACTGCAAAGGTTGGCACATAGTAGATGCTTACTGTGAAACACTGTGAAATGACTGACCAGCCCTCACAAAAGAACTCCACCATATAGGACTGTGATGTCCATCTGACAGATGAGATTCAGAGAAGTTAGTGACTTAGCCAGACTATTTGCCCAAGGTCACAGAGCTAGTGGGGCAGCCAGATGGCGCCACAGTGCACAGAGCACCAGGCCTGGAGTCTGGAAGACCCATCTTCACGAGTTTAAATATGGCCTCAGACACTTACTAGCTGTGTGGGTTGGCCCCAGATGATCTCAAAGGCCCTCTTTAGCTCAGAATGCTGAGATAGGAAGAGTTGGCCCAGGGCAGGCAGCGCCATCTGCTGGGGACATCGAGATGACCCGTTGTTCTCTGTGGCATGAGTGGAAGAGAGCATTGGGTTTCTGAAGCCTTGGGCTCTGGCACTGAAGCTACGTGACCTAGGGGAGTCATTCCTTCCCACTCCCCCACCCCTGCCTGTTTCTTTCTCATTACAATGAGAGAGGGAGGAGCTGGGAATTGAATTATTCTAAGGTCCCTCCTACCTCTGACTTTCTACGGCTATTAGGTTTAGGGTTACTAAACCACAATACAAGGAATCCTCACGTCACATCACAGGCCCGTTCTAGAAGCACTGGTTTGGCAGCCTGGAGTTGGGAAGACCCGGATTCAAATCCAGCCTCAGATACTTGCTAGCTATGTAACCCTAGGCAAATTACTTAAAGGAAAACAAAATAGAAACTTGTGGCACCCGGCTCAGAGGACTCCATGAAATAAAGCGCCCTGCAAGCCGTAAAAACATTACATAGATGTCGGCTTTTTTTTTTGGGGGGGTCCAGACCTGTGATTTCCCTGGTGCAGGGCAACTTCTGGGTTTTTTTTTTCATATAAACTTATTTATTTTTAGCTTTCAACATTCACTCCCACAAGTTTTTGAATTCCAAATTTATATCCCATCACCCCCATCCTCCCACCCCAAGATGGCATGCATTCTGAATATCCCTTCCCCTAGTCTGTCCTCTATTCTATCTCTCTCCCCCTCTCTTATCCCCTTCCCCTTCTATTTTCCTGTATGGCAGGATAGACTTCTATGCCCCATTTCCTGTATTTCTTATTTCCCAGTAGCATGTGAAAACATTTAACCTTCTGGTTTTAAAGGCAGAACAGTGGCTGTGAGCTGCAAATATCAGCTGGTAGCCTTGTGTCAATCCTATTATCTATCTAGTAATTAGACTGCAAGCCTACAGAGCCAGACTTGGCCGAGAAAGGGTGTTCCAGCGCCTTGCTCCCAAACCCACAGGAGCACATCACCCGGTTGGCACCAGAGGCATCTTGGAGGAAAGGCACATAAGGGACCAACCTGGGCAGAGATCAGACCTCCACACCCGTCATATGGGGGGAAAGCGGAAAGGCAGATCCAGTGTTGATCTGAGATCAAGAAAGCCAAGCAGGAGACCCAATGTGATTTCAAAATAGAATTTTAATAAGGATTATCCTGGTTGTTTGTTTTTTTTGCATCAAAGTCCCCCCCTCCCCCAAAGTCTCCCCAAGTATAGCACAGAAATTCACTCGAGACCAAAATGATTCCAGATCCCGGCTTAGCAGCTCCCAAGAGCCGCCATTAAGGCAAAAGAGGGGGCAGGAGGGGGTGCTGAGTCTCAGCAAGACTCCAGGTCTCCCCCCGAATCCCTCTGGGATGATACAAATCACAAGACTAGGCTGGAAATACTGTCCCTGAAGGGAAGAGTGATCCAGAGGAAAGCAGAGCATGGCCCTCTAGAAGAAAGTCTGGCCATTATCAAAGTGAGTGTCCCTGGGTTCGAGTCAGAGGCTTATGGGTTTTGCTGAAGGTTTAAAAACATCTGGCCTGAAGTCAGAAGGACAGCAGCAGCAGCAGCAGCAGCAGATGCCAAGAAGAGGGACACAACACACTTTTTAAAAAAATGCCACATAATTTCAAATCACATTTCATTAATGTATTTAAAAATACACAAGCCACAGCCAGACAGGGGAGCATGAGCCTCACTTTTGAAAGTGAGCTCACAAGTTCTACGTGCTTATTTTCTCCCTAATTATACACTGCTTCCCCAGAGTCATGCACTCTGCAAAATAATAATAATAATAAAATAAAACAAAAGCTACCTAGAACTTGATTGATTAAAAATGTTAATCGGCTAGATCACACTCAAAGGGATTTATGAAGACAGTCTAGACCTCCTGAAATTCTAAGGCAAAGTGGAAATGGGATGGTTAAATCTTATCGCTCTGTTTGTATAGAAAAACCTCTTAAAATTTTAATATAATTTAATATAATATAGATGTGTATATATTTAAAAACAGGCTGTCCCCTAAAACTCCAGAGATGTTTGCTAAGTCGCTGAAAAACAGCAGTCTTTGAATTCATTTCACAGTGATTCGGATACTTTTAGAGAACAGGGGGGCTCAGGGATGGCACCCAGTCAGGGGAGCCCCAGGCCGCGGCTACACCTTGTAATTGAGCTCTGCGTTCATCTTCGTGTACATTTCATAAATGATGTCGATGGTGGCTGTGAAATTCACCAGAAACAGACGGACCTTCTCCAAGCACTGGTCTTCTGGGACATCCTGTCCTTTGGAGAGGGCCTTGAGGAAGTCAGACTTGTATGGGGCGGCGTACAAAGCTCCCTAGAAGGGGAGGGAAGGGGATAAGAGAGAGGGAGGAAGGGGTCAGCAGAGAGATACACTTGGGATGGCTAAGAGGCACATCACCTTGCATTGTAGTGACGCCTCCAATCAATCCCCAAGCATTTAGTAAGCATGGCATTGGGGCTATAAAAACAAAATCACACAGTCCCTGACCTCATGGGGCTTACATTCTACTGGGCGGTGGGGGAGGATATAATACTGTCACAGAGAAGTATACATCTGTATCTGTATATATACATACATACATACATATATATTTATAAATACACATACACACATGTACATACTATATAGATAACTATATAGTGATATTAGATACAGTGATATTAGATACAGATAGACACAAATGATTGGCTAGACAGATAGATGTCACAGAACTGTCATGCATGGGAAGGCGAGGGCCAGGCTCTCAATGGCTACACAGACAGTTCTCAATTTATTATAAATTTGCATTAGGCAAACTTGACGTTACATAAAGAATTCTGAAAAAAAATCCACATTCCAAAAAACTACCTTTGTTAACTTTACTATATACGGTACTGTGCACACTCTCTCTCTCCCCTCCTGCCTCCTAGCACCCCCCCAAAAAAAAAAAAACCAAAACCCTCCAAGTGAAAGCAGAACAGGAAGGGAGAGATCACTGCCACTACCGCCGGATGGGGCATGGCAGAGACCTTTGCCCCGTTCCACCCACCAGCCCCAGTATCTGTTTACCATCTGTCGAATGTGGGGTACCATGTGTCTGTTCCCCGTCCTCTCCTGTTGGTGTCTGTGTCCAGACCCCACATCCCTGGCCCCGGCCCCCATGTCTCCCCCTCCTGCTCTCACTTCTCGGCCTCCAGCCCCCATGTGTCTTCGAATCCTGCCTCCCTCCTTCCCTGCCTCCTCTCCCCATGTAAAAAGCATTTTACATAGAAGTCTGTAGAATCATCCACTTATATCAGGTAAGAACAGTATGTAAATGTTCATCAGGAGTTGTGCAGCCCTCTAGGGCCCAGCTCAAAGTGGTTTATTTAAATAAAGTGAAGGGAATGACATCTCTCTGAGGAATAAGACTACCTGGGAAGCAGCATCCCAGCACAGTGGAATAAAGCTGGGTTGGGAGCCAGCGGCCCTGAATGCGAATCCCAGCTATGCCACTTATTACCTGTGTGACCTCTCTGGGCCTCATTTTCTTTACCTGTAAAATGTGGGGATTGAACTAATGACCTCTAAGGTCCCATGAAGACACTATAATCCTGTAATCCAACGATCATCTAAAGGGCAGCTAGGTGGTGCAGTGGATAGAGCACCAGCCCTGGAGTCAGGAGGACCTGAGTTCAAATCTGGCTTCAGACACTTACTAGCTGTGTGACCCTGGGTAAGTCACTTAACCCCCATTGCTTAAAAAAAAAAAACCCAAAAAACCACAAGGATTATCTCTATTAGGCAGGAAAAGGAAAGGAAAGCTCAAGGTCATTACAGGTCTGATTTGGGGCAAGTCAACTAATCAAAGCCTCACTTTCCTCTTCTGTAAAATGGGGTGCCCTCCCCCACAAGGTGGACATGAGGCTGAAAGGCTGAACCTGAAAACCAGTACAGAGGTGAGCTCTCTGGGCCTGTTTGCTTATCTGTTGAATGGAGCTGGATAGATCACATCTAAAACGCCTCTGAGCTCAAATCTGAGATCCTGAGACACTGTTTACCATCTGTGTGTTTGATAGGGTGCTATGATTTTTTAAGTCTGCAGGGTCTGACCTCGGGGCCTCCTGGTGCCAAGCATCCCCTTTCTACTGCTCCATGCTGCACACTCCTGGGTTTTGTTTGTTTAAGTCAACCTCCCAAGGAAGGATGGAGGGCACAGGACCAGACAAGAGTTCATGTAGAAAGGATGCAAGGGTCTTAGTGGCCTCCTGGCTCAATGTGAGTTAACAGTTTGAGCTTCATTAATTCAAATATTAATTAATTTTTGTAAAACATTGTCCTAGCAGGGGAAGAGAACCTGCAGCCCGGAGGTCATACGTGCCCTTTAGGTATTTTTATTTGTTTCGTTAAACATTTCCCAATTGCAGCTTAATCTGGTTCAGCATGCACTGAGGAGGTTGTGGGCTGCGTTTGGCCAGGAGGCCTTATTTAGACTCTGTTCTGGTCAAACTGCCTTACTTGCTGTTACTGGGACTTAGAACTCCCATTTTCTGCCTCCAGCCTTTTCATTAGCTCTCCTACTTGATCATTGCTTGGGCCCTGAATGGCTCAAAGTGAATGTAATAGCAATTGTTTCTGTTTTGGCCAGAAACCCTGAAGATCTTTCCCTCCCAGATTGATTTTTTTTTGGACTAGGATCAGGTGTAAGGAACCTGTGGCCTTGAGGCCACACGTGGCCCTAGGTCCTCAAGTGCAGCCCTCTGACTGAATCCAAACTTCACAGAACAAATCCCCTTAATAAAAGGATCTGTTCTGTAAAACTTGGACTTCGTTGAAAGGCTGTACCCAAGGACCTAGAAGGCCACATGTGGCCTTGAGGACACAGGTAGATAGGGGAGGAATAATCCCCTGGCTGCGCAGGCTAATTGGGCAATCACACAGATACTATTTAATCCTGTGTATGATTATTATGATTTTATGTAATCCGCCCTTGTGACTTCACGGGTACAGGGAACTCCTGGTAAAGAAAGTCCTTCTACCAAGGTTCTCTGAACTAGGACACTGAGACAGGAGGTGACTCACCCAGGGCAAGGTGAGACTTGAACCCAGATCTTCCTGGCTCCGACAGCAGCACTAAGCATGCTTATCTCTCACTCTACCACGTTCTTTGGCGAGGTTGAGTTAGAGGTTACAAACAAAGAGATGGGAATGGGAACGTTGCTACTGACAGGGAGAATCAGGCGAGGCTCCCAAGCCTCAAAAGGCAGGCAGGGATCTGGCACTTGAACTTTAAGAGGCTGAGCCACAGGGAGCTGGTGAAGGTTCTGGGCCGAAGAGGGAGGCACAGCCAGATCCAGGCATCAGGACCGTGGATGCAGTCACGGAGGCGGGGCAGGGGAGGGACAGAGGGATGAGGTCAGCTGAACCGCGTTCTCTTGTTTCGTTTTTCACTCATGTGATCACCTCTTCCTGCTCCCTTGTGAGAAATGCAGCACGCTTTCATTATTCTCAGTAATACTACCGACTGCCACAGGCTGCCCGGAGTAGCCCCTCCTGCCCCTCCCCATGCTTCTCCCCGATGGCCGCCATCCTCCTGAACCAGACGGCCTCGGAGGTCTCTTCCAATTCAAGTCAATCAGCATTTATTGAGCACCTACTGCATGCTAGGCACTATACCAAGCACTGGGGATACAAAGAAAGACAAAAACCAGCCTCCTGTCTTAAGGAGCTCCCTGTCTGATGGGGAAGACACACACATAGGACAAACAAGAGGGACATGGGAATGACTGGAGATAATCATCAGAAAAAAACAAAAAAGAATGAAAATAGGGCAGCTAGGTGGGCAGTGGATAGAGCACTGGCCCTGAATTCAAGAGGACCTGAGTTCAAATCTGGCCTCAGACACATAACACGTACTAGCTGTGTGACCCTGGGCAAGTCACTTAACCCCATTGCCAAGCCAAAAAAAAAAAGAGAGAGAGATAATCATCAGATGAAAGGCGTTGGCATTAAGGGCGATGGGAAAGGCTTCCGGGGGGGGGCACTAAGATGAGGAGGGGGAGCATTCCACACACAGACAAGTTCCCCTCCAGCTGCAAAGACTTGACCCTATGGTCGCCTACAGAGGATTTATGGAAAAACACGGGCAAGAACTATGGGGGCTTCGAAGGCAGAGGAGGCAAGGTCATCACAGACCCAGAGCTGGAAGGGACCTCAGAGGTAGAGTCCAACCCCTTCCTTTTACAGATGAAGAAACCAAGGCATGGAGAGGCTCCCCGGCTGGACGTGGGTCCTCACCTGAAAGATCTTCTGCACCAGCCAGCCGTGGTACTTCTTCAGCGCCATCTCGTAGGCCTTGGTGATGTTGACGCGGATGAGGTTGGGCCGGCTCTCGTCCCGCTCCCCGTCACAGATGCTCTGCAGAAGCACCTGGATGAACCTCAGGCCCCTGTGGGGAGGACAGCAGGCAGGAGCCGTGGTGAGGACCCCGGAGCCCCTGCTAGGCCCGGGCGGCTGGCACCCTCTGCCTTCAACCTCCGCTCACACAGAGCCTGACCAGGCTGGCACTGGAGGCTGGCACAAAGGCTGACGTTTACGAGGGGACGCGTCCTGACTGGCCTCTGCTCCTCAGATTTTACCTCCTCGACAGCCCGATGTAGTGGAAATCAAAGTAACATAACTACCACTTACACAGCATTTTTACACTTGCAAGACACTCTCTGTGGTTTCATTTGCTTCTCTTCTGTGTCTCGGTCCTCATCTGTAAAATGGGTTTCTTGATACCTAAGACACTGCCTGTTGGGGATGCTGTGAGAACTAGGAGGAGAGGGGTGGTAGCCAGACACCACCGAGTCAACAGCGTCAAACTGCCCTGCATTCACTAGGATGGCCGCCCCTCATTACCTCTTATCTTCCGGTAATTACACCAACTTCCCCCCCTCCTGGGTGGATTAAGTCCCTGAATGTCAGGTGGAAAGACCCCTGAGGCACACATGGGCTAACAGAGGAAAGAAGTCGGGGTCTGGGATCCAGGGCTTTGGCCCTCACTGCCCACATGAGCCTGCCCAGTTCCCCCTCCTTTCTCATCCCCATCTGTAAAAAGGGGGAGGGGCAGACTGGCAGGCCGCCAAGGTCTCTTTCAGTACCAAGTCTCAGCTCCCTGACAGGGGTCCTCCCTGGTCTCCCCACTGTCAGACTGCCACCACCTCGCCCCTGCTGAGGGGAGCTCACTACCTCCTCGGGAGCCTACGGCATTCTGGGATAACTCGCTGGTCACAAGTTTTTCCTTCTGTCAAAGTCCACATAGGCCTCTCTGAGGCAGCTCCCACCTGGGTCAGGACAAGCCTCATTTCTCAACATGGGTGGGGTCTACAAGGCCAGGGCACACCTAAAGGCAGAGGCCGGGAGGGCTTTCTTATCATAATCTGCAATTCACTCATCCAGCAGGATGCCAACTAGACCAGCTCCACCCCTTCCATCACAACAGCCCACATTTCTTAGGGATCTTAAAAGTTTGCAAGCACCCTGTGAGGTTCATAGTGCCAGGTTTCTTAGACCCATTTTACAGGAGTAAACTGAGGCTGACAGGCCCAAGGACAGCAGAGCAGAGTTCTGACATGTGCAAAGCCCCCTTCGAATGACACACTCATGAGGATGATGAGACAGGTTATCAATGAACTCATTTTACAGATGAGAAAACTGAGGCCACGTCTTCAGGGGCTAACAAGCATCAGAGGTAGGATTCAAACCCAGGTCGTGCTCCAGTTCTTTCTGACCATGGCACACTGAGAGTCTAAGCAGAGCGGACGCTGATGAAAAGGGAGCTGGGGCGCCGAGAGCTGCTTTCTTATCAAAGAGAGACACAGTTGCAAGATGCTTGCCTGTGTGTGTGTGTGTGTGTGTGTGTGTGTGTGTGTGTGTGAGAGAGTGTGAGAGAGAGAGAGAGAGAGAGAGAGAGAGAGATGTATGAGGGGCAGCTAGGTGGCGCAGTGGATAGAGCACTGGCTCTGAAGTCAGGAGGACCTGAGTTCAAATCCAGCCTCAGACCAAACACTTGACACTTACTAGCTGTGTGACCCTGGGCAAGTCACTTAACCCCAACTGCCTAAAAAAAAGAGAGAGAGAGAGAGAGAGAGAGAGAGAGAGTATGAAAGGGTGAGTTTGTGTGACAGAGTGTATGTGTAAAAATATGTATGTGTGAGAGTATGTGTGTCCGAGTGTATGTGCGTGACAGCATGTATGAGTGTGTATGAGAGTGTGAGTTTGTGCTACAGTGTGTGAGAACATGTGTGTGTGTGTGCGCGTGTGTATCCCCAATGCCTGGCACACAGCAGGCTATCAATCCACCCACAAGCATGTACCCCAACCTCTCTTTGCTTATTAAATACTTCACTAAGTTCCAGGTGGGCACAGAACTGTGTGCTGGGCAGCGGGCACAGCGGGGAAAGGGAGGCCAAGGTTAAGGCAGACACCAGCCCTGTCCTCATGTTGCTTATAGTCAGGGAGCAGGATAAGAGCCCAGCAGAGAGAACTAACAGAGGGAGGCACCTCAGGGAAACAAGCTTGGAGTGGGGGGGCCTGGCCTGGGTTCGAATCCTGCCTCTTACATTTACTAGCTGGGTCATCATGGGTGTGCCATCTCCTTTCTGAGGCTCAGTTTCCTTATCTGTAAGAGGGGAACACACCCACGGCCACAACCTCCAGGGGCTTCTAGAAGGCCCAAATAGCAACACTGAGGCCCACAGAAACATGCCAAGGTAATGCGTGTAGGAGGGGTGAGGGCTAAGGAAAGCCTACCTTGAGAACTAATGAGTCTGTTTGGGTTTTTTAATTGATATTGCCAGAGTGCACCAGTGTCTGCAAAGAACCTTCCAGACACTCTCACACCGGCAGAGATGGGAGAGGCCATCAAACCCTGACTCCCTTATTTCAGGGATGAGGAAACTGGGGCCCAGAGAGGTCTGCAACGAGGTACGACTCTAAGCCCGATTCTACAGCTGAACAAAACAGCTCCCAGGGTCACACAGCTAGTGAGGGCTAAAAGCAGAATCTGAATCCAGGTCTTTTCGATTCCAAAATGAGCAAGAGGTGAAGGGGCTTTGAAACACACACACACACACCACACACACACACACACACACGTGCACGCACACGCACCACACGCACCTAGACTCAGACTCGCTTTCTCACCTTTTCAACCACATCAACGCCAGCGTGGCCCCGACCTTCGGCCATTCGGCCCCATACATCTCCTTCTCAACTTCTAAGATGTTCTGCAGCGTTCGGAACTTTGTGGGGTTTGTGTCGTACACAGCTCGGATTGTCTGAAACAAAACACCTAGTTTCAAAAGGTTTCCAGGTTGAAAAGCAGTGCCCACAACAAGAGGGCCCACTACCTCTGCACAAAAAAAAGGGGAGGTGGGAAGGAAGCCGCCATCACCTCCCTCCCCTCTGTCCCTGGGACCACAGACATCTCCCTACACGGGTCTTAGATGAGGGACGAAGGGCTTGGTTACCCCAGTGGAGGCAACGAGATTTGGGATTTCAAGAAAAACCATCAGCAAGTCCAAGGTGGGAAAATCCAATGCGAGCACGCAGGTCGGAGGGCAGTGCCACAGGGCGCTGGGTTCTTGCAATGCCGGAATCAGTCAGAAGACTTTTGGTCAAGGCCCAACACTCCCACTCATTAGCTGTGTGACCAGGAGACAATTCAACTGCATCCTCTGAGTCTCAACAATGTCATTTATAAAGTGGGGACAATGATAATTTCACCGATCACTGCTCAGGGCTACCAGGAGGGACCTACTATTTATACCTCTGCAGATGCTCACATTTTTATGTGTGCTTGCATGTGTGGCAGGGGTTGTGAAGAATTATGTGGGTAGTTCCTTTACTGTTGTTCAGGCTGCTAATAAACAGTATAGCCAATAACCTGGATACTTGTTTAAACCCAGAAGATTAGAGAGGTGAGCAAAAAGTCTAAGGGAAAGGCAGTTTCTTCAGTTTATCGAATAATGATTAATCAGCTAGGGTGGGGGCTCAGAGCTAATTCATTAGAGATTTTGCAATCTGAGTAATTAATAAGGAAATATCAAAAACATATGTCTGGATTGCCTTAGAACCTGTGATGAAAATGAATCAAGAAAATGAGATAATAGCAGGTACAGAGATGTGATTAGGTGATCACCCCACCTAAGCTATATGTGGGAATCAACTATAAATGCCATGTTTTTATATACACATATATAGTCTGTCAATCCATCCTTGTGTGTCCACACACGTACACATATACATACATATGGACACACAGGAGAATGGATTGATAGACACTCTGTGTGTGTGTGTGTGTGTGTGTGTGTGTTGTTAGACAATGGTCCAGACTTGTGATTTCATCAGTATAAATAACTCCTGGAGCAAAAAGTCCGCCTACCAATGTAGACTGGGAAATCCTCTGAATGAGTAGAGTCAGAGAGATGCCAGGAACGTTGAACAGCCAAACAACTTCTCCAAGATGCCACACACAGATGTGCCAGACACAGGATGTGAACCCAAAGCTTCCTCTCCATCCTTCCCCCAAATTAGCTGCCATATAGTTTAAACATTTACTTATCTGTTTCTGCATTGTTTTCCCCGAGTACAACATAAGCTTCCTGAGGGCAAAGAGTGTTTCATTTTTGGCACACAGTAGAGACATAATAAATGCTTATTGAATTGAATTACTGACTGCAAGGCTGGCCCTCTGCCTTTTCTTCCAAGGTTATATATTGTAAATAAAATGTATATAGCCAGTTTTTAGTCTAATGGGAAATAGAAACAGCATTATAAATGGGATCCTTTTTTTAAAGGCAGATTTTGCTTTCTTAAAAAAGTCACAGGTCCATACAACCAGGCTTATTACTCACCTTCTTTGCAAGGCACTGTGCTAAGTGCTAGCAATGCAAAGGGAAGAGGAGACCTACCTCCTACCCTCAAGGGGCTTCCCTTCCGTGGAAAGGCTACCATTAATTTGGGTGCAGTATCCAATGGTCTGAACCACTGACCCTCTCCTAGATGGTGGGGATAGGAAAGGAGAAACACGAGTTCTTTGTTCAATGCTATTCATCACACCAAGAAATGATCCCATTGTCCACCACCTCTTCACCATCACAGTACATCACGGAACAAGGTAGCCGTGACTTCAGTGGCTGCTCTCACCCACGCCTAGATGAATGGCGCCACGAGCAGGGACAATGTCTGCCAGAAGCGTTCCCGAAACAGTGAGAACGAAGCTCTCCGCACGTACCTTGATGTTTCCGCTGATATCCGCTTTGATCGGGGTGAACACAGGCGAGCCAAAGCAATCTGAGGTCAGAGAGAAGAGGCAAGATTTCAGGGCAACAACACAGAGGGCAGAGCTGGGAGGCCCTGGAGAGGGCCCGAGCTCCCTGCCAGCCCAGCATGCTCTGATCCCATTCAGTAGGGGCCAAGCAACCCTACAGCATTTAGGAGAACAGGTTCATGTCTTGTTTCCACGTCTGAGTAACCGTATGCCCTGGGGTGATGTGTTTCCCTTCACTGGGCCTCGTTTCCCTTTTCTGTAAAGTGAGAGAGTGTTGGGCACGTGGCTAGGACACCTCAAGCACTTATGGGGTTTGCCAGGACATGCCTCTTTTGGTGAAACCAAATGTTTCTGAATCAATCCATTTTAAAATGCAAATAAAGAAAATTAAAACACGGAGATCTGATTCAACGTCCAAGTTCCTTTGAGCCGTAATGACCTAGAAATTCTAGGAAAGCTAGACACCAAGCCAAGCTAAGAAGGGCCAGGCACGGCACCGAGCACAGTGGTACAAAGAGACAAAAGACGGTCCTTGCCCTCGAGGAGCTTACACTCTAATGGGGAGACAAAAAGACAACAACGAGGTACAACAAGCTATTTCAGCCTCCCAGAGCCCCATCTGTCAAATGTGGGAGCTGCACTAGACAACCTTCCCTTCCGGCTCCAGATCTGGGCTCCCACATCCCTCATTTCTGTGCTTCTATCTACTTCCTTGAAAAACAATGACATGAAGGTCAGGCATGGTGGTGTACGCCTGTAGCAGGGAGGAAGGGTTGTAAAGGGGCTAAAGCTCTGGAAGTCTGCACCAAGATAGTGACACCCCAGGATTTGGGGTGGAAAAAATGAGGGGGAAGGAAGAAGAGGGAGGAAGAGAGAGACAGAGGGGGAACGGAGGAGTGAAGAAGGAAGAGGAGGAAGAGGTAGGGGAGAAAGATGGGGAGAGAGGGAGAGAGAGAGAGACAGTAAGGGGAAGAGAGGAGGGGAGAAGGAAGAGGGGGGAGAAAGATGGGGAGAGGGAGACAGAGGGAGAGAAAGAGAGACAGGAGGGGGAAGAGAGGAGGGGAGAAGGAAGAGGGGGGAGAGAAGGGGGAGAAAGATGGGGGAAAAGGAGAGGGGTGGAGGGAGAGATGGGGAGAAAGATGGGGAGAGAGGGAGAGAGAGAAAGAGACAGGAGGGGGAAGAGAGGAGGGGAGAAGGAAGAGGAGTGAGAGGAGGGGGAGAAAGATGGGGAGAGATGGGGAGAGAGGGAGAGAGAGAGAGAGAGACAGGAGGGGAGAAGGACAAGGAAGGAGAGGTGGGAGAAAGATGGGGGAAAGGGAGAGGGGAAGAGGAAGAGGAGGGGAAAATGCGACAGAAAGGAGAGAGAGAGACAGGAGGGGAAAAGGAAGAGGGGGGAGAGAGAATGAAGAAGAGAAAGGTACAGGTAAGAAGGGGAAGAAAAAGAGGGAGGGAAGAGGAAGAAGAGAGAGGAGAGAAAAGAATGAGAAGGGAGGAGAAAGAGAGGAACGGGAGAGGGAGAACTTTTTTTGGCCTATCTTTGTATCCCTAGCTCTTAGCCCCATACCTAGCACACATTAGGTGCTTAATAAATACTTACTGACTGGATTCTAAAAAGCAAAAAGCAAAGCTGCCCACACAGTATCAAAACACAACACGGAATGTTGCTCAGCCCCAAAATCGCTGTCATTAATTAGATCCAACATGTCAAAAGTGCATCCCCAGGAAATCAGGGTCATCTGACACAGAGCAAAATAAACTGAGTCCTTCAGACGGTGCACACAAAGGCCAGGACAATGTGAAAGGACCACTAAGGAGGAAGAGTGGTGGCAGAGAAGAGTCCCTGGAATAGAACCACTCCCAAAGCAGAGAGGTGGGGGACCCTAGGGCAGAATACTGTATACATCTGCACACAGCCTTTGTAGTGAATGTTTTCACTTAATTGCTTTTCTTTGTCAGGAGGAAGGGTCTATGTGGAGGGAGGTGGGATGGAAAGACAAAAGGTATCCATTAAACACATTTCTTGAAATAATTCCCAGAGAATAGCCTTGATGGTTACCCAAGAAGGGGCCAAGCGGGGTTCCCTCATAGGGCCTTTCATGTCTGGGCTATTCTTTTTCTAATCTCTGACATTAGGAACAACTTCCGGCTTCCAGCCCAAGCAGTGAGCTGCCGTAGGATCACGGGACCAGAGATTCAGAGCGGAAAGGGATCGAGCCCAACCCCTCATCTGACAGTGGGGCAAACTGAGGTTCAGAGCTAGTGAGTGCCCGAGGCAGAATTAGAACTCGGGTCTTTCTGTTTCTGAGTCCAGCACCCAGGAGGTGGAGGATTCCCCGCCCTGGAAATGTGGGCACAAAGGCTGGAGTGCTCCTTGTTCTAGGTCCGGTTGAGGGCCTGGATTCCTAGCCTGGCTCTGGTACCTTGACCATGACTTTGGTTGTGCAAGTCAGCCCTCTGGGCCTTGGTTTCTTCATCCATGAAATGGGGAGAATGGTCTCGTCCCAGCTTCCCTCCTCCTAGCGTGAGTACAGGGACAGCACAAAAGAGCCGGGAGCTTGGAAGGACGAGGGATTTCCCCGGCGCGGGCATCACAGCTGCCCAGACCTAGAGCCGGAAGCTCCCTGAGGGCAGGCACTGGCTTTGGCCTTGCTGGTCTCCCCAGGGCTGGCACCCTTAGGCGCCTAATAAATGCCTGCTGAAAGCTTGGCAGGCTAGATAGTGCCTCTGACTGGGAGTCAGAGGACATGAGTTCAAACCCCGAGCTCTGCACTGTGCAGTCCTGGACAAGTCACCTCACCTGCCTAAGCCTCAGTTTCCAGACTAGAACATAAGCATTTGCATGTGCAGCAAACATGCCTCGGAGAACTGCCTAAGTTTTAAATGCAGTAAAAACTTGGAGCGAGGGGGCACCGTGGAGAGAGCTCAGGACCTGAGTACAAATCCTGCTTCAGACAATTCCCAGCTATGTGACCCTGGGTAAGTCACTTACCTACTCTGTGCCTCCGTTTCCACAATGGTAAAGTGGGGATTCTAACAGGCTCCACCTCCCAGGATCCATACTTAGCAAACTTGAAAGGCTCTCAAACATACTACAACACGGAAGAGACTCCTAAGCGTGACTAAGTTTTCCTGGACGTTACTGAACAGAACCCTGGGTTGTTTTCTAACACCGCCACGCTCCAGGCACTTTCATGTTCATCTCCTACCCCTCATCCTCCTGGTTCTTAAGCTTTTTGGAGATTTATTTTTTACTTTGGTGAAGTCACTTCATGTGAGAAACACGAGTCACTTTTGAAATTTTGGGACTTTGAAATAGATCCCGAATTTGGTTTGGTTACAGAGCTAATGTGCGGTTCTAGACCCAGGAGCCTAGAGATGAGGAAACTGAGACTCAGAGAGGAAAGGGGGCTCGGCCAGGGCTCCCTGACAGCAACTGGGGGGTCCAAAATTTGCACCCATGACACAGAACCACAGATTTGGTGCTAGAAGGGACCCTGGCAGCTCTCATCCTACCTGGGAGGACGCTGAGCCGGGAGTGTCAGAGGCAGAATTGGAACCCAGGACCTCTGCCTCCAGGGGTCTTTCCACTGTGCTAGGCAGACCAGGCTAACCCCCAGCCCCATGCCTCCATAAATGCACCAGCCTTCATAAACCGCTGAGGCCAAAAGCCTTTAACACTTTGCAGGCGCCGCTGCCCCTGGGGATATGAGCCTGCCTCAGCGTGCCCAGGCTGGGCCTGAACAGCAACAGATCCTGCTTGGCAGGGCCTACCGGTCCAGCCCTGGAGAACCTGGACACCCTCTGTACCACAATGAGGGGGACTGTAAGCATTCCAGACATGAGGCTGAATTCTAGAAATGCATGGAGGGCGGGGCTGGATCCCGTGGCCACCTAAGAGACGGCCACAGGCGAGGATCCCGTAGCCACCTAAGAGATGACCACAGGCGAGGATCCCGGGGCCACCTAAGAGACGGCCACAGACAAACCCATCCTTGGACAAAGACGGGCAACAGCATACCTACAACTAAGTCAGCAACAAGGCCTGTCTGTAAGGGGAATTAGGGAGAAGAAAGAGGAAGTGAGAAACAGCTCAGTCAACTCTGAGGATGGATGCTGTGGTGCCTGGGACGGCTCCCGGGGCCAGTGGGAGCAGTGAGGGCTGGGGAGGCCATAGGGTGTGGGCCAAGGTCACCTGAGGAAGGCTGCTTCCTCTCCTGCGGACTAGAGGGCTGGTTAGATGCAATCAAAGGGACGCGTCTCGTTTTCACAGGGTCTTGGATGCCTTGACCCACCCCTGCCCTTGGGCCCCTCATTCCGGGGCAATTTCTCTTCTTTTCTTTTATTGAGGGAGTTGGGGACTTGTCCAGGGTCACACAGCTAGTGTCTGAGGCCAGATCTAAACTCACGTCCTCCTGACTCCAGGGCCAGTGCTCCATCCACTGCACCACCTGGCTAGGCCTACCCCTTGGGCAATTTCTAAACCAGTGACTCCTCTTTGGGTGGTCCCCCTGTCACAGATGGCTTTCCTTTGCCAGGAACTCAGTGCGTGGCCCATCCCAGGGCCCTCAAGGACACTGCAGCAGCTCCTCGGGCCTTGCAGAGACACAGAGGCAGCTCCAGCCCTTCCTCGGGGTGGGGGGGGGGTGTCACCTTAGAAGATGCCAAGGTCCAGGAGGGGGCGAGCAGGCCGCACTTGAGGCCGTAAGAACATCTCCCCACTTGTAGGGACCACACCAGGCCTCCCCTCTCCTCACCCGGATGGTGGTGGCTGCCAACCGCCCAGAGCACTTGGCAATTGGGGATTTTAATTACGGGGACACTCCCTTTAATCTCACCCATCTCCCTGATCTTATCGCCAGGGAGCTGACTCTGACAGTTTAGTCCCGCGTGAGGATGGGAATGTTGTCTTTCCCATGGGATGGGCCCTCTTGCAGCCACACTCTGAGCAGGGGGTGGTTGGTGGTGGTGGTGGTGTTTTAAAGCCACTGAGCCGACCCGGGCAGCCTTGGGGCATCCTGGCACA